AGGGTTTAGGGGTTTAGGGTCTAAGGCTTGTTGGATGAAGAATTGCTTAGGGTTTGGCTGACTGTTATGTCTTTTCCAGCTTCTATGTGTTGGATGAGTCTACTACAGTTTACTACAGTAGACGACAGTGACAAGATTAGTGTTGTAGGGTGTTGGTGGGTGTTTGATGGGATCCTTTTGGTTTGTGTGGTTTTGGGTTGAGGGTTTAGGGTGTTGGATCTTTCGGTCGAACACGCATGACAACTCATGGGTAGCCAAGTGATATGCCTTAAAGCCCAGCACAACGCTGAACAACACCAATAGAGCCGGTAAGGCTCCATATCATTTGATAAACCTTTTGTGTCCTTAAACCCTAAGGCCCTAGACCCGACATCCCTAGAGCATGAACCCTACTCTCGGAACCCCAACCAGCCCAAGAAAGCCCTTACTCTCATAGTATAGGGGCTTAACGAGTTCCCAATGCTAGTCCTGTGGGGTATTATATACCCCAACACCCTATTCTAGTCATTGAGGCTCCGGGAGCAACCTGTGTTTTACTACAAAGGAGCCCGAAACCCTAAACCCTAAACCCCCTTTTGCCGGCGCATGCCAAGGTCTTGAAGGTGCGGGCCCCCGACCTGGCTGTCAACAACCTGCAGGGATCAAGTCCCTCGCGTTTGGGGTTTTAGAGGGCCTTAAAGTGGGATTATGGGGTTTTATAGCGGTGTCTTAGGACTCTAAAGGGTGTATGGGTTTTCTTTACAGGGTTTCGGGTTTGGGGTACTTCTTGGTGTTCCTCGAGAATTAGGAACGATTGTTTCATGACAAGCCGTACCATGATCCCATAGATGTTTCTAATTATTTTGGTCTAAGGGGCTCATAGTATCTTGGAGATTTAGAGTAAAGGTTCTTTTGGGGTTTGAGCCTTTATAATACGTGTAAAGGCTTCGAGAGCTCAGGGCTCTAGAACTTTATGGGCTTCCAGTTTCTAGTAAACAGTGTACCTCAAACTACCTCGCTCTACTGAACGTAAATGCTTGTAGGCTCCTGTTAATTAGTGTTTATCTTATGAGCCCTACAACAAAAACATGGATTACATGCTTGCGTAGCATGTTGTTTGTGGCTTTTAGGGCTTCGGAATTTGGGGCTGTAAGGGTTCACAGCAGCCACGTGAGTTTCAAATGTGGGTGTTCGGGGCTTCACGGTTCTAGGGCTTTCGGTATTAGGGTTTAGGGTTCAGGGTTTAGGCCACGGAAAGTCAAAATCCATGGCGCCCTCCTGAAGAAGGGAAGCTAGTTTAGACCACTACCCACCCATTGCTGCAATAGGAGGTCCGGCCCAGAGAGCCCAACAACACCTTACTTGAGGAATGTGCCTGAGCGATCCCTCTTACTGTCCCTAGCTTTGTATGGTTTCTTGCATATTCAAGGGGTATACCCGCTAACTTCAGGTCTATTCCTTCTTGAGGGGGTATGGGGTACAGTACTGTGCCAAGATGCTCTGGGGCTCTTCGGTGTTATATTTTTGAGAACCTCTCCTCGCGCTACCATGCAATGGCTCTGAAGTAATCCGGGAATCAGCAAACTGAAACATTCCAGTACGTTGGATGTGATTATCTGTCTGGTGCTTAGTAGGGAATGGGGGAGTTGGTTGTAGTGACTACTAATTATAAGGGACCTTAAGGGACTATCATAGGGATCCATTCCCCCATTCCCTACTAAGCACCAGACAGTTATAACATCTCCGAGGATGGTAAGTGCTGGTGGCCGAGGGACGGTACCTCATCCCCTAGATCACAGCACATGATCCCCAATGGAGTATTTGTAAAACTTGGCAATAGGCCTCAAAACAACATCTACCACGATATTTCCTTCTTGATACAGAGTGATGAACCCCAAACCCTAAGTTTTTTCAGTTAGTAAGGAGCTTGTACTGTGTGCGTAAAGGGGGAGTTCGCCTTCGCAACCCCCAGACCGCTAGCCTGGACCCATACGAAGACCTTTGTGAATCCCTGGTAGTGTCCCCGCCACAAACCCCAATCACGAAGTTCCTAGAACCCGAAGCCCCCACAATCAAGAACCCATAAGGGCTCCGTGCAGGGTTTAGACTTTAGGGCCTAGGGGCTTTGGGTTTAGGGTTTAGGGGGGGGGGGGCTGGGGTGGTCTTGGCGAATCTCTTTCGTAATCTTCAGACCAATTTACAGTGCTCAAGCCATTCCCATCCTTGCAGGTCACGTCCCCGCGAGTCTTGACCCTCACCTTGGTGGATCTTCCGGGCGTCGCGCGAGTGCCCGTGGGAGACCAGCCAGAGGCCCTTTCGGAGAAGGGCTCTAAGATGTTTTTGCAGAACCATGTGAGCTGCCTGCAGGATTTTGGAGGGCTTCATTGGGTTCTAAGATGTTTGTGTAGAACCATGTGAGCTGTTTTCACTTTCGGAGAGGGGCTCCAAGATGTTTTTGTAGAACCATGTGAGCTGTTTTCAAGATTTTGGAAGGCGTCATTGGGTCCTTGTAATCAAGGAGTACTTGAAGAACCCAAAACCTACTTTTTTGTAGGGTCCCTATAAATCCCATATTAGGGTTTATAATAAGAACCTACAAAAAAGTGGGTTTTGGGTTCTTAAGGTAGTTGTTGAAAACCAGTCAAAGCCTGGTAGCCTGCTTTTAAGGGCTTTCTGGATGGATACAAGGACCCTCTATGAGAGATCTTACAGGTTGGAACAGTGGCTGGAGGGTCTTGAGTGATTTTGGGTTGGGACTTTACGGCTTGTCATGTTTGGGATTGGGGGTTTAGGGGTTAGGGTTTAGTAACAGTAAGGACCACAATAGAAGCATGCGTAGTTGCAACAGCAACAACGGCAACACGACAACGGTCTCACCACCATCATACCGCTGTTTGCTGCAGCTGCTGTTGCCGCTTGTTGCTGCTTGCTACCACTGCTTACGACGACGATCACTTCTTACCAGAGCCACAGCGAGGACAGTTCCCAGTTGCACAAGTGGCCGTCAGCAAAAGCATCAGTGCAACTAGTGATCTCTCGTCGCCGCAGGACATCGAGCAGCAGATACGCCACTCGTCAGGGCGGTTCTAGAGGATTTTCAGCAAGTGAAGAGAAGCCAACTACAGTGCTGTCCATCGAATGATGGCACTCCTAGTCGTCACCGTCGGGTTAAGTCAATGTTGCTGCCAATGGTGGTGTTGTGGTTGATGGCGTTGCTGGCGTGCTTGCTGAAGCAGCAGTCGTTGTTGCGTCAGGCTGTGTGATCTTAGTGTGTTAGGAATTCTGCTAGCTTTACAGAGTCTTTTGTGCTTCCATTACACATGGGTTACTAACATCGCATTGCCCGCGGATGTCTTCGGCTACGGCGATGTTAGCATTAGCAGCTCAGGGGGTTGTTGCTCAAAGCTGCAGGGTTCGGGGAACATCAAGCTTTCAGGTTCGGGGGAGAAGCAGCTCAATGAACTAATCTAAGCCCTGCACTCTAAACTAAACCCTAAACCCTAAACCTGCTGTGCAATTAGTTTTAAAGTGGAAATCTAAAACCCCGGGGCCCCGGCCCCTATCATTGGTTTAGGGTGTAGGGTTTAGGATTGAATCATCAACCCGAGGCCCAAATGAAGTTCAGGATACGGCTGTCGATTTTGCTGGGGTTGGTTGAAGTTGGTTGCGAACTTTACAAAACCCCAAACCCTAAAGCTAAACCCTAAACCCTAAAACCCCG